TGTGTGATACAAATGTGGTTTTGCAGTAGAAAGAGTGAGATACCTAGTATTGCACTTGCACTTACAAGTGTCAGATTGTACCTCACTGAAGTTTCCATATTATGTGTTTCATGCGTGCAGTTTGAATAATTTTTCGGTAAACCAAGTTCCAAGCACTTTTTTACAGTGAGTGACCACACCGAGGACCAAACGCTGTTGCCAAACTTCACGGAGCAGCAACTGTACGAGGACCGGGCTGAGAGCCCTCGGGAGGACTGCGGGACTGCGGGGTAGCTGCACCTCTCACTCTCTCTCTCGCTCTCTATCTCCCTCCTGAGCCAACCTACATCCCCGTCTCGCTCCCTCTCGCGGAGGGATTTGCATTTTGATAGGCTATAAATCGTGTCTGGGTCTCACTCGCTAGCTCCTGGAAATGACAATCTAGTTGGCCGGGCACAAGTAATGCTCCAGTCATTATTATTATTATTTCAATTTACTTGTCGCTGGAGGGCGACACCCTCCTCCGCGCGGTAACGAAAAAGTAACAAAAATATAACAATTACAAAAACAAAACCCGGCGTCAAAAGCCTCCAGGGTGAGCTGCTAGACACAAACATGTCAATACGGAAAGTGTGGGCGTGGGTGCGGTGGGGTGGTGAGGTGGGGCGAGGCGTAGTGAGGCGGGGCGACATTTGAAACTCTGCACTCGCCCCACCACACCACGGCACACGACCCGCAGGCCGCAGGCAGGCGTGCTCGCGAATAAAAGTCCCAAGTCACCCCCCCCCCTCCCCCCCCCCTCCTGGAGCCCGGCTGTGCCCGTGCCCCGCGGGGGGTCCAGGTGGCAGCCTGGCTCATTAGACCCCAAGGCACTGCTGCTGTTTTCCATTTTTTAAGGAGCACATTTTGTCACTAACACCCCCCGGTGGCGGCAAATAAAGTGGAATAATTTACCATTCGGCCTCAAACAGCCCGCGCCGGGCCGACGAGGCTTGCACGCGCTAGCAGAGCTCTGCGGCTGCGGCTGTCCAGGCCACTATGGATGGCCCTCATAAGTCACGGACCGCTGGCTTTTGCCAATCAGTTTCGGAAGTTGGACTTCCCCGCCGCCCCCGCCTCGGCCCCTCGCCGCGAGCCCCCTTCCCTTAAACCACTAGCACCGCACGTCCGTCCACTTGACAGTCATCGTCATCATCACGACCCTGTCATCGAATCCTCGCAAAATTTTGTTCCTCTCCGGGATTATTAGCGATCAAACAACGAGACGTTTGGAGATGACGCTAAGGCCCCGTGGTTTGTGATTAGGAGAGTTGCGGCTCCCCCACCCAGCCAGTGGGCCGCCCGCACCCCGCGGCTGTGGCGCCACGCGGCCGTGACTTTGGGTTACCCTGGCGCCTCAGAAGCTGCCGCCGCCGCGCTTCTCCAAACAAACCACAGGACGAGAGCCGTAGGCGGCCCCTCCCGGCCCCTCCCTCTGCAGGCCGCCTCTGCAGGCCGCCTCTGCAGGCCGCCTCTGCAGGCCGCAGCACCACCTGTCGTCCGCGAAAAACAACCCCCGGTGTGTGCTATGCGCGCCCTTGGACCACACATTCAGGCCGGATATCAAACTTTATGAATGCATTCCAAGGAAAGGGCAAAACGAAAAACTCACCTTCCTCACCAAAAAAATCAAAAAAAATCGATAAAGCGGAAAAGCCAAAGGACTACATGAGAGAAAAGCGTGCATGCGTGTATGTAAATAAATAATGTAAATAAAACAGGTAAGTGCCAAGAATACTGCAAACATTACTGGTATTAAGTCGCTCTTTTGTCAAAAATAAAACTAAAACATGACTTTAAACTACAAACAGATCAAAAGTTTTAATGAAAAATTAAGGAAGAAGTATATGTTACGAGAAATGTTTTAGTCACACTCTAAAAACAATGAAGTTTATAGAGAACAGTCAAAAAATCCAGATTTTGTAATCAGTTAAATCAATTTAATAAAAAGAAATTTCTACGAAGGCATGCAAGAAAATTGCGTATAATTTGGCACGTACTGCTGTCTCCTGGCGCTCCCGCCACTGCCCCGGCCGCCGCAAGTCCCGCGATGCCCAACTCACCTGAAACAAGAGAGAAAGAAAATGTAAAGTTACAAATAAATAATAGAAAAACAACGACAAAATTATGTACCGCTCTAAAAGATATCCACGCGATGGTTACAATAACAGCATTTCGTGCCTACAAAGTGTGATATCGTGCAAATTAGAGAGACATACATATGGACAGTAGGCTATACGAAAGCCGACGCCACAGAGATCCAAAATACAAACATAAATGAAACAACAATGGAACAGCGATGGTACACTACCGGTCTAAAGCAGCACAATGCAAAATTAACTATCTAAGATTTAGGAGGTCCAAAAATATGACGCTTGCGATTGTTTAATTGTTAAGGCGTGCAGTCCACTTGTCCCGCCGAGGGTGCCGAGGGGCGGATACTACACGGCGGCGTACATGATTGATACACAAAGTGGCTCAGTATTGGCGCGCGAGTCCCGGCCAGGCCCGACCCCACAATGCGACCGGAGCCGCCAGAGCCGCCAGAGCAGGCGGCCGTGCAAATTAGATTTACATACAAACGAGCCAAAGCCAAACACGCCGGGGAGCAAACGAGCCAAAGTTGAAAAACAGACGAAAATCGTATACGCACGCGGTTGCGGATGGGCCGCGAGCATGTTTGGAGGGAAAAACAAAAATGGCAAGATTGAAAGGGTTGCGGGGATGGGGTTGGTTGGGTTTGGGCATCCGCAAACTGCGCGGCGAGTGCAAACCAACACAGCGCGAACGCTATTTCAAACATACGAAAAAAAGAGGCTATAATCAAGCCAAATTAAGCTGCCACTATAATTGTCTTCAATAAATACGCATAGCGGATAGAACTCTGGGGGGCCAACTAATGCCCTTCTTTTTTTAATCATTCTGCCCCCCTCTCCCGCTTCCATCATTTTGTAAAAAAACAAAATATTCTGCCACGCTTGCTCGCTCGCGCTCAGCTCATCAGCCGGATTACAGGGCAGAATGCGACCCGGCCGGCCGGTCGGCGGGGCAAGTCAGGCGACGCTGCAACGCCGATGCATCACTCTAATTAATTCCGCCGTACCAAAACATAACCACAACATCACAGCAGCTGCTGCGCCTCTCTCGTACCCCCCAACCTCACGCCTGTTTCTACACATTCTCATTATTTCTCGCGCGACTTTGAAGCCATCGGGGCGAGCGGCCGGCGGTGGAACGGGGCGACGCCTTCACCCGGGTGGGCGCTCGCCCGGAGCCCGCCTGAGGCCTACGGCCTGCCCGGGGCCACCCCGCTCCCCGCACCACCCCGTCACTCAGCCAGCCCTGGGTCCGACCCACCCGCAGCGGGGCCCGCTGTCAGCTTGGCACGCGGAGGCGCCAATGAGCCCCATGGGTACCACCCCGCCCCGCCACGCCCCGCCACGCCCCGCCACGCCCAGAGAGGGGCTCCGTCCGTACTGGGGCTGCCTCCCGCCTTCATGGTAATCGGCCCTGAGCCAACCAACCGCGGCAATGGGGAAAATCTTTAACATGCAAATACGGGGCGGGGGCTGTCAAGAGGGCCCTGCTGCCGCCCTGCTGCCGCCCTGCAGCCGCCCTCCTGCCGCCCCGGCGCCTCGCAGCCCTCCGGGCGCCGCCGGAGCGGGGCCAAATCACGGGCAGGTGCCGCCGGGCCGGGGTGTCACTCCCCGCACCGCGAGCCTCTCTCACCGTGCAGCCCGAGCTGGCCGAGCTTGCTGAGCAGGCTGAGCACTGGTTCGCTTTTCGTCTCCAACACAGCGGTACGGTGCATCGCCCAGGTTCCACGGCGTGACTGCGGGAGGCCGGCGAGCCGAGGTGACCGGCTACTCCATAGGCAACAGCGGTGGGTATAAGGATCGCCTCGAGACAGGATCTTGGGGCTACAAAGCCCCATCAGCGCGGCGCACACACTCCGCCTCACCGTATTAGCCTACGACGTGCACCCTATCCCAAACTCCCTCGCTCCCTCCTCACTCACTCTCTCTCTCTCTCTCTCTCTCTCTCTCTCTCTCTCTCCCTCTCTCTTCCTCTCTCTCCCCCTCTCTCGGCATCCTCCCCTTCACTGTCTGCCAGCCCCGCGCCAGGGCTGCCCGGAAGATAACAATCTTATCAATGTCGCGGGCGAACAAGAGAACAGCCCCCCCAAAAAACTTTTCGCTGATACGTATTTCAGCATAGCAAGGGAGCGAGCGAGACAGAGAGCGAGCGAGAAAGGGAGAGAGAGAAGCAGCGCTCGCCTCCTAATTCGGAGCGCACACGGGGGCGCGCCACGCGTGTGCCCGCGCCCCGAGGTTAGGACCGTTAGGCTGCAGGCTGAAACGTGAGAAGGGAGTGAGAGAAGAGACGGAGAGTGCAGAGAGAAAGAGAGAGAGAGAGAGTAGGCGTGAGGGCGAGACAAGATGAGTTACACCCTGACGGGGAACGTAAACCGCTGCATAAGACGCGAACAGGAGGCAGGCGGGGACCCGACAAAGGTGAGGAAAGAGTGGATCTTCGCAGAGAGACAGAGAAAGGGAGAGAAAGAGTGGGAGAAAGGGAGAGGGAGGAGGGAGGGTGGGAGAAGGAAAGACAGAGAAGGGGTCATACGTAAACGCTGTCACTGCGGGGTGATGCATGGAGCGGGATGCTGCTGGCGGAAGCCCAGCCGGGCGGGTCCAGGGCCGAGCCGAGCAGGGGACGCCACCGAGCCCAGCCGGGGCCGGCGCGGCGGGAGGAGGCGGAGCCGAGCAGGGGCCTTCATGACGGACACAATATCGTGACGTGGAGAGACAGCGGTCCGCTAGGACAAAGAGGGCAATGGGCTGCGGCGAGGAGAGAGAGAGGGAGAGAGAATGAAGGGGAAGGGAGAAACAAAAGCGAGGTGAGAAGAGTGGACACACACACACACACACACACAAAAGGGGTCGTGGATTCAGTGGGAGAGTTTACGGTCCAACGTCCGAAGCGACGTAATTGGTTTACGAAGTCTCGGGAGATCGCCGTTCGGTCCGCAATCTCCCCTCTCTTTCCCGCTGCAGCGCCCCTCGCTCCCAACGCCCCGGTTTCAGACCAACCCTTCCGTGCCTTGCTCTTTCCCCAAATTGCCCCCTCCCGCTCCCCTCCGGGCGACACCAAGCAGGTGCGTGGCCCAGACATACAGCTGGCGTGGCAGCGCGTGGCCAGGAGGGATCGATAGGCCCACCGACCCCCTCAGTGATCCCAGCTTTTAACCCCTTCGTCTCCATCTCTGTCCATCGCCCCCACCCCTTCCCTTTTACTCTCTTCCACCCTCAGATTGGTGAAACCACGTCCAAACTAAATAAGGCTGGCCAGCCTAGCAACCCGTGTACAGGGGCGGCTCGAAGCGGCGCAGCACACCTCTCCCTACCCCTTACTCTCTTCCTACCCACCCTACGTGCTTGGTCGAAGAACACACAGGACACAATTCTCAATCGAAGCGGGACACGACTTTCGAGAAATCTTCTGCCGTCGCACTGTTAATTAAAGGACCATCCAGCAAGTGCGTCCGTTTTTTCGTTTGGCTGGATACGGGAGCTCGGCGCCTGCGAGACGTAGGGTAGGCCACCCCGTAACACACGCATGCAGTGCAGGCGAGATGTTGCCTGCATAACAGGGGTTATGAGAGCTTGCGGAGGCTAAGCTTGGCACGGAGAACGACGGACATACTTTTTGTATACTTCCTTACGTGACACACGAAACGCAGTAACGTTTGGTGTGTTTCCGGAACCCATCAAATTTTTACGCAAATGTCTAGTCGGTTTTGCCCAGTTCGGCCATACTGTGTGCAGAGACAGTTCTATTGACTTTCACAGAAATCCGTACGAGGCACACACAATACTACGTGAGCAATGTAACAGAATATAGGGGTGGCACCGAAATTGCGATGCTGTTCCTAGTAAAGTCAGGCAAACGTACACTCGCAGCCCTGCACTGCTGTTAAAAAGTATGGTGTGATTTCTCAACATTTCCTCGATACGGAGCAGCTGTTAAATCTCAACACTTCACCGACGAGTTCTAGCAACTATTTTCACAACGGAATTCGTGGGGTTTTGACTTTTAAAAGGGTACTTTTCAGGTCACGCGTGAACGTGTTAATTCATAAACCAAGACATTTTCAGACAGAACATTTGACCGGCACCCCCCCCCAATCCACCTTAAGAAAAAAGAAAAGAAAAACAGAAAATAAAATAAAATTGTGCGCAAGGCTGCAGATTGACTCGGCAAAACATCATCCCCGTCCGCTCATCCCGGCGCACAATAACGTCGTCTGCTAGCAGCGGGGCGTCGCACGGAGCTGAGGGAGGAGGAAGAGTCAGAATCGGGAGAAAATTAGGAAGCAGGGGCTCTGGCGGCCTAGCAGGTCGAGAAGGGTAGCGAGCCACCGCCACGGGGGTGAAGCAGTGAGAGAGAGAGAG